ATACATACATTACATACATACTTACTTTACCTTACAATACAATACATTAAATTACATACATTACATTACATTACATTACATTAAATTACATACATACATTACATACATTACGTTGCATTACATTACATTTCATACATACATACATACATACATACACTACATGCATACATACATGCATACATACATGACATAAATACATACATAACATACATACATACATACATACATACATACATTCGTACATTCATACATTCATACTAACATAACATAACAAAAGATAAGATAACATAACATGACATAACATAACATTACTTACATACATTACATTACATTACATTACATTAAATTACATTACATTACATACATTACATACGTTACGTTGCATTACATTACATTTCATGCATACTTACATACATACATACATACATACATACACACATACATTACATACATACATACATAACATTCATACATTACATTACATACATACATACATACATACATACATACATACATACATACTAACAGAACATAACTACATAACATCAAATAACAAAACATAACAAAACATTACATACATACATACATACATACGTACACACATACATGCATACATACATACATACATACATACATACATACGTACACACATAAATGCATACATACACACATACATACATACAAACATAAATTACATACATTACATTACATTACATTACATTACCATACATACATACATACATACATAGATAGATAGATAGATAGATAGATACACACATACATACATACATAACATTCATACATTACATACATACATACATAACATTCATACATTACATTACATACATACATACATACATACATTCATACATACATATATACATACATACATACATACATACATACATACAAACATACATACATAACATTCATACATTACATACATACATACATAACATAGCATAAAATAACATAACATAACATAACATTACTTACATTACATTACATTACATTACATTACATTACATTACATTACATACATACATACATACATATATACATACATACATACATACATGCATACATACATGCATACATTACATTACATTACATTACATTACATTGCATTGCATTACATTACATTACATACATACATACACACATACATACATACATATAAAAATGTAAAAAAAAATGCTAGAGAATACCAGGGGATTTATCCGCTGTCCAAAAACCGATGTTGCCCGCCTCACTGTCAAATGTGGCACCACCCATCATATCGCCTGGGACTAGAAAGGCTTGTGCCCTGGTGAAGATCATGTAAATGGATGTTCATGGTCATTTCCTCAAAATATATCATATATATATACATGATATATATATATACATGATATATATATACATGATATATATATATATATACATGATATATATATATATATATAAATGCTATAAATATATATGATATATATATATATGAAATATAAATGATGGAATATATATATATATGTATGCGATTGTATATGGTCCAGCGTTCCTACCCCCCCCGGCCATGGTCATGGGTCAGCCATAGTACTGTCCCCCCCTTTGTTTTACCCATTTGTTAAAGGCAAAATAGTGAGTCACTGGCAGTTTTTACCCACCCTTCTATTTTTTTGGATGTCAGGAAGATGACCATGATCCGGAAACCAACCCATCATATCATCAAGTCCTAAAAAATGATCACTAATACAATTTAGATATAAATAACCATGATTTGATCATATCTCATGAGATACCATTAAATGAAATATTCATATATCTGATCAAATCATCATATCCAATGTTTTTCACCCATCAAATCCCATGGTGGCCCGTGCCGTGTGGCGGGGATGGTTGCTGACATTTTCCACCAAGTGACGCATGCGAAAGAGGTGGTGTCCTCAGGCTATCATCCCCTAGTTGGTGAATAAATTCCCCTAGTTGGGCTTATAAAAATGGTGTTTAAATGGCATTTAATGGGATTGTTCAAAGGATTTAAAATGGAGAATATAATGGAATATGACCCGACTTGGGGGTGCAGTTGGGGTCATAAATGGGGTTGGGCCATGCTGATAATGTCCATAAGTTGAACTGCACCCCCAACTGATTTCCATTGAGCTTCGTAGTAAGATGTGGGTGTCTGAAAATAATAGAGCGTGCTTATTTTTTGGGGGGAGTGCCGTATTTTCAGACAAAACTATATGTAGTTGGAACACGGCGCATAGGCGGCCGTGGCTCACATTGAGGATTGAGTACCAACCAGCATTTGTTTTCTATGCGTTTGCAAGGGTATTTCTCAAGTCCCATGTGTATACACATTTAGTGGCTGATTTCCATGCAGAGTTCACCAGAATGGCATTTTCGCCTCAGCGAAACGATAATTTTACTGCTTTTTTGAAATGACGCAACTACTTGGTCTGTGCAAGGACTTGCTTCTTTTTTCCTCATCTGACAGGATCACTCCTCCGGCAGCAGCGCTTCCAAGTGTTCCAAGAATTCGCGCGGGCTCACACTGCCGAGACTTTGTCTCCAAGCCCACATGTACATGTATTGCGAAACACTTGAGTGCATGCAACTGTGTCCTTGGATTTTGTGTTTCACAGTCATGGCCTTGGACAAAAACGTCTTTAGACTTCGCCAAGATCTATCGAGTGTCTGGGTCCCTGCCACACTGGAAACTTCTGGCCAAACTTTGGGGCAATCCAACGTGAAATTCTTGACTTGGTGGATCACACTCTGGAAAGGCAGTCCACGGCTTTCTGCTGCTGACTTCCAGGCCTTGTTGCCATCAGCATTCACAACACTTCGTCCAGTGATGCGATCCAACAAACCGGAGGCTTCCACTTGCGCCAACGTTTCCGTGACCGGACGCTGTCCCACAGCTGTGACCTGAGGAAACTGGATAAAGAAAAATATGGTCAAGGTTCTGTGCTGCCATCCCATTGGATCATACAAGGCGTGCAATGTTAAAACGGATTACAAATGAAGAATAGCAACCGTTTGCATCCGAGACACATGCGGTCGAGGCACATAAATCGCAGCTGACGAGCTTCCTCGCACCTGCGCTCCCAGAACCATGATATGGCCCACAAACGATTTCGGAAATCGTTCACCTTTGCGACGAAAGCCGTGTTAATCTTGCTGAATTTGGTCTGCATGCCGCAAATCGTTAGCAGACATGTGAAATTTGCCGATGAAGGAGCCATCCACCTCCACGGAGCCACACAAAGGACACCTCTGTCTAAAGTTTTTCCCTGCAGTGCTTTCCAACACTCGAAGAGCAGCCAAGAAGTGTTGCACACAAGTTCGACCATGTGTCCTGTGCAACTTCACACGAAGGGTAACATGCCCCACTCAACCCCAACCCTCCCCCATCAGCAGTGTAGCATCCGTCCTGTGCAACTTCACATGAAGGGTTATAACATTCTGCACCCCATCCAAACCCTCCCCCATCAGCCGCGTAGCATCCGTCCTGTGCAACTTCACACGAAGGGTAACATGCCCCACCCCATCCCAACCCTCCCACATCAGCCGCGTAGCATCCATCCTGTGCAACTTCACGCGAAGGGTAACATGCCCCACCCCACCCCAACCCTCCCCCATCAGCAGCGTAGCATCCGTCCTGTGCAGCTTCACACGAAGGGTAACACATCCGAACCCTCCCCCATCAGCCGTGTAGCATCCGTCCTGTGCAACTTCACACGAAGGGTAACATGACCCACCCCATCCCAACCCTCCCCCATCAGCCGCGTAGCATCCATCCTGTGCAACTTCACACGCAGGGTAACATGCCCCACCACATCCCAACCCTCCCCCATCAGCAGCGTAGCATCCGTCCCGTGCAACTTCACACGAAGGGTAACATGCCCCACCCCACCCCATCCCCCCCAAATATCAAAAATATGTCCTTCGGTACATGTACCATGTTTTGGTTGCTACCAATGACCACTTAAAAATCCACTGACTGCTGGCGCCAAATCGAAACCCATCTAGAAGAAGCCTTTGGCTGAGTCAAGGTAAGCATCCTCATGAAATGGTGGTGGTGTGCTTCCAACACCCATCAAGATCAAAGAAAACACATGTCCCGAGAGCATACGTACATGTGCATCATCAATGGTTTCCCTTCTAAAAAAACAAATGTCATTATTTACCTATTGGTTGTTCAATGGAGGTGACGTGTGTGTTGATCAATATTTTCCGTGTCAAAATAACCAGTGATATCAACATATTCTGGGTACTGTAACCTATCAAGATTGGTTGCCGCAAGGGGAAAGGATAATTATATCGGTTCTTGCTCAACATGCCCCATCTGTGGTCCCATTGCGCCCATGTTGTGGGTTACTAAAATCTTACGTTGAGTGAATGAAATAGGCTGAAATATGCTAAGTTCGGTAAAGAAATCAGCTGAAGCCCTCTGTGATTTTACTTAGACCAGATCCTTGTGTGCGTTACACTTTGTTGGTTATATCAAATCCTTTGGTCTGAGTTGCTTAACTCATACTTGTTTGGCTGATGGTCCTTAATCTTGTTGCTTAACACCATGACACCCAACAAAACTGATGCTGATGAGATCCTTGGAAGCTTCATCAGTTTTTTTTGCTTCAGCCAATCTGACGATCCAATCAGTTGGTTGGTTTCACATGTTTTGACCCCCAAACATAGGCTACAGGGACGTAGGGCCTAGGCCTTTCCGGTCAATTTTCCCACCAATTCCTGGATCCAAGATGCTCAGAAGTTCCCGAACCTGACTCGTGCTCGCCAAGTTGATCACCGTCTGGCTGCGCCGGTTCTTGATGTGCACCTGACGAGACTCAGCTGGGCTGGTTGTAGCTGGGTTGTTGAAAAAAGGGACCGCATGCTTTGGATGGTTTTGGAATGTTTACAATAACCGAAAGTAAAGTGGGGTTGTAACTGCTGGAGCTGATAAGTGATAAGCAAAGAATATCAAGATTGAATGTTAATTATAAAAGAACAACATATCAGGGCCATTCAGGGCCTATCAGGGGATAAATTCCAGGTCTGAATTGTTGTTCACAACAGCTTCCCCTCCCACCGCTCTCAGTTCTCTCAGTCCCTTCACAGCAAAGCAAGGTCTTTGCTCCTTTGGTGAGAAGGTACTCCACCATTGTTTCCGAGCCTTGGAAGTGGGGCCGGAGAGCGGCCCCCTGGTACCCTGCTGTTCACACCAAAATACTGTAGCTAATATGGAATTAATATGGTTTTTGGATGTGAACCACCCAAAATCACCCAAATGTGATTGAATAGGTTTTGATCCATCTCCATGAAGTTCCAAAAAGGGTAGGAACGTAGGAACCTAGTACCTAGATGGCAACACGATAATTAACGATAGATATCACCTTCACTTAAGGGATGTTCCAGTTGCGGCAATTGGTGGTTGGCAACTTGCGCCCCCAAAATATCGAGATGGGCAATAAACAGGCAACAATGGAGATACAACGCCCCTGTCGTGACAGGGGCTCCAACTCTCCTAAGTCAGCTAAGTTTGTTTTCGCCTCCTACACGCACAGCGACTAAAGCAAAACAAATAGATGTTAAGAACAATGGCTAAAACCAAATAGCGCATATTCATCTTCCAGTGGGAGATGGTAACCTGCCAAGCCCAGGTTTACCAGGCAACACCTCACCACCCACATGCGTAGGATCCAGTACGATAGATTCATGCCAGCTTGAGGTAAAACAAGATGATCTCACACTCGTCAGCTCTCAACATAAACCAAAAGGGTACTAGGAAATTCACCAAACCGTTATTTCGGTTGGAATCCCTGGACAGATTTTCCAAGTCTAGCAACCCAAACTAAACTCATAGTATGCAGATTTGTATAGATATGACACTGCTAGATGATTAGCGTTTGCATCTACGTATGTGAAACGCACTATTCCCTGTGTATCCCTGTATGACTATCATGCATATTCATTTATCGTCGTGGATATCTCCTGTTCCGGCCGCCCTGTCGTGTCACAGGGACCCAGGATGGCAGCCAAACCCAATGGCGTGGTGTCGCCGTTGCAAATGATTTTGAAAAGCATGGGAGGCTCCTGCGAGATGACCCTCTCTATAAACGGTCCTGTAGTCCAACTTCATATACAGTAGATATACTAGTTGGTGGTTTCAACCCCTCTGAAAAAATGAATGCGTCAGTTGGGATGATTATTCCCAATATATGGAAAAACTGTTCCAAACCACCAACCAGATATACAATAGATATCATCTATACGCATCTGGAAAAATGTGCGCTAACATGTGATATCAGATTGTAACTGGGCTGTACTTCTTACAGGGACCCGTCTGCCAAGTTTTCTTTAGTGGCCCCGTTTGGAGGATCCTGGAAACAAATGGCGAGTGCAGTTTCTAGCTTTCAACCGCCAAAAAGACTGCGATTTTCCACGATTATGACAAATAACAGGGTAGTCTAACCCCCGACAAGCCAGGGTAATTGAAACTGGTTAGTTCTACTAACCCCTTGGCCTTAAGCAATAGTTTCTACTGGGAATTTACCATGATGTATTGTACGGCCTACAGTACTTATTCTGTTGCCCAAGTTAAATCAACAATCCAGTAGTGGTAAGTGACAAAAAACGAAACATGACAGCTTACAATAACTACTGTGTCACCAAAGTCATGGCTACTATAAACAACCATGATGAAGTGAGTAACTAAAGTCAAGTCAAACAAAGAAGTAGTTGACGCAGTTCACTAGAAATTGGTAGTCACGCAGATCCTTCCTCCTTATTATTTTTCCCTATTTAGGCCCCAACCATTCATAGGAACTCTTTAGTGACATCACTGGAACGTGCATTCTTCACAGCAAGGCTGCCTTAGATGATCCGGTGTTCTTCTCTGATCACCCTGTCCTTTCCTTTGAAAACCTCCGGTTTCCCTGTGTTATCTTCTGTTTTTTCCTCCTATCAGTACGCGTGTGTTATCTGCAACAGGTTTTTCACATTTCCACCAAGATATGGGCCAAAAGCTAGCAGTGTCAACCTTTCCAACGCATGGATGGAACCAAAATGTGGCTTTTAATTGTGGGAGGAAACCAAAAGAAACAACAAAAAACACAAAGGAACTATAATAACTAAAATCAATTCTCGCTGGCTATCTCATGGTCCAGTTATCCTTTGATTTCCTTTGGTTTCCTTCGGTTTCTTTCGGTTTCCTCTGGCTTCTTTTCGTTTGGGGCTGGGTGGATTCTATGGTTTTCCTTTGGTTTCCTTTGTTTTCCTTTTTTTTCCTGTGGTTTCCCTTGGTTTCCTTTGAAATCCAAAAACCAAATCAGTCAAGGAAAATGGAGGCTTGAAAAGGCCGCCCCCGATGGAAATGCATCAATCATGACTGTTACCCTCTGGTAAACGTTTACATAACTATGGAAAGATCCACCATTTTATAGCTGGCTAAATCCACTATATTTCTATGGTCATTTTCAATAGCGAACTGTAACAAAGAACCAGAAGGTACTATGGAGATCTAAGGAGGCTGCTATCATATCTTCCCATGTCCTTAGAGGTGGCCATCCAGCGGCTGGCCATCCAACAGCGCGAGAGAACTTGCGCCATGTGCAGCGCTCCGGTCATGATCATTTTGTTGTTGGGATCCGCCTACCGTGTGCGACCCAAGAAAAAAGGGGCCAAGAATGCCGAAATGTAGGGAGATTGTGTATAGTGTATAAATGTACATGTAAATATATATATATATATATATTATATATATATATATATATGATGTATCTGAAAATCTAAATATATATATATATGTTTATATATTTAAATGTTATACATCTTAATTATACAACTTCACCACATGTTACCATGGAATATAAGAACGGATGAAATACATGCTGGCTCCATGGTGCTAGTATGGCCATTGTTCGCGCCAATGTTGGGGGTATCTCGAAGCTCTTTTGAAACATCTGGAACCAAGCCAAATGCCGTTTGTTTTTGATGTTTTAATCCATACTTGGAGGTGCAGTTGGGGTTCTCAATAACTAGGGTTACAATCACCAGAACTTCGAACATGGGGCCCCTTCAACTCTAGCTTTACACCCACATAGAAACTGAAAATGCAACCCCAAGGTCGACTTCGGGTTGGCATGGGTTGGCCATCCCTGGGTTCCAAACACATGCATGTATGGCAATCACCAGGAAGTGACATCCATCATCACCCGAACTGTCTGTGTCTGCGGAATGCTTCGAAATGTCAGGTCCATCAGGTTTGGCCGACAAACAAAAACTTTACTTTACCATGTTTATTATTGTTTGTTGGGAATTGTTCCCTGCGGTTACAAACCCTCATCCCATAACAGTCGCGAGATCTCACCCTGAGAAGCGCTGAACACATTTACCACATATGCTGGTGTCAAAAAACAAAGGGTACTCTGGTACTCCCGTAAACTGGTTAATCCCTATCTTCGGTAGTTTTTCACCAGTTTTGATGTTTGAATCTGATGTTCGATGGCAAAACATCAGAATTTTTGATGGTCAAACCACCACCGATGGGTGAAATTGGGAGTTTGAGATGTCCTGAGTTTGGCAATTTTCTCCCCCAAGAAAATGCCTCCGCATCTATCAGCAGGTCAGCAGTCTCCCTCCAAAGCCTTGGAGTCTACGACTGGGGTGCATCCCATCCAATAGCCGGTAATTTAGCAAAGTTACGGCCTATTTACAGATGATTTACCTATCAAATTGCGGGATGTCCACTATATGTGAAATTACCAGAGTGGTGAAAAAATCAACACATCAGTAGAATAATACCCTACAAACAGTGGCTTACACAATGATTGTTGAGCCACTTACGAACTGCACATCAAAATACAGCTATAAGTTGTAAGCGTTGATACTGCATAGCTATGAATGATATAAAACATGATTTCCACCAATGACCAATAAAACGAAGAGTGATTTCCACATGACTCCACATGATCTATACAACAGCATGTGCGCTATAAAATTATGTATTATAATATATATATAAATACACATGATGATACATGAAAACCATGGCCTATATATATATATATCCACGACTTACCGAGGCTTTCAATGGCCATGTTCCACAAGCAACAAATTCGCGGCGCAGGATTTCAACCGAATGTGTTTATTTTTACCACCCGTGGCCATATTGGGGATGGTCCACTATTCAGTTTAGATACTACATAATAAACAAACAAAAAACATGTAACCTACATTGGTGGGCATTCACTAATTAATCTACATTTACATCTAACCTGCAGCTAATCATCAAGGGAAATGACCTGATGGCCCAGAAGCTGTGCCGAAGATTTGCAGGGCCAGCTTGGTTGCAACCTACTTATTATAAAGGCTTCTGATTAATAATCTCTAGTTCAATGTTTTGGTTCATTATCAATTCCAAAATTAACATATTAGTTGTACATATGTATGTTAATTTAAATATTATATATATATATATATTATATATATATATATATATCAATGTTTCTGGTTCGTAATCCCTTCCCCCCGCTCAGATTAAACACCTCATAGAAAACATGGTGGAAGCACGGCTGTTGTTCTACCGAAAGTATGGGGGCATCAGGAGTCCGATGGCGCTGACATGATCATAATTTTGTACTAGTTTCCACAAGGAATCCATGAAAACAAGGAGAACACAACACACTAAACGGCCATTGAAGCAGAACTAAAAATAACCACACTTTTTTACAGCAACCATCTGCAGCTGGAAATCAAATACATGACGTATATTCAAACCTACACATTGTTGTGACACGTTTTGACTCATAAGTTCTACCTGCTGTACAATCGAAACAAACCAGATTGGCTCCACCGGGATACAACATGTGCAACCACGGAGCGGATTGCCATGCGCATGAAAAACCAGCATACACAAAGGTGAAATGCAACGCCCTGCGCCCGGAAAGAATCAGCTCACTTCATGGAGGCGGGTCGACATGCATCACCATCACGGATAACCCCCATGAAGCCTTGTGAAGTTGTTGGTCAATCTAAGCATCAAATATATCAAATCCGACTTTTGAGGTGTGGATGAGGTATTGATCCAGCCTTACTTTCGCGTCACTGAGCAATGGTAAGCTCTATATCCGCTGGTTTGCTCATGTTTTTGCCATCCCAGTCATGATAATCACCATCAACGTTGGTTTGTTCTGTACCTTCCATTCAACATCTCCATCTTTCAGCACTTTGTGGTTTCAATTCAACTCATGAGCCTCGCAGAATCATGGGGGGGCCCGTGTCCAAACCCTGGGTTGTGTACTCCTTTTTGGCCTTATCTTTTGTGTCTTAACAGGATAGTACTACAGCGAAAAATTGCACAAATATATAAATGTATACAGAAATATATTTGATTATTTCTCTATTCCCGGGGGCGACTGAGCGAAGGGTCTTCTAATAGTGGGGGTCTGTCAAACATTTTCACATCTTCACATCTTCACATCACACTATTCACAGCGTCTTATGCTCACATCCTCACATCTTCACATCTTCACATCTTCTCATCTTCACATCTTCACATCCTCACATCGTCACATCTTCTCATCTTCACATCTGCTCATCTTCACATCTTCTCGTCTTCACATCTTCTCATCTTCACATCTTTTCATCTTCACATCTTCTCATCTTCATATCTTCACATCCTCGCATCTTCACATCTTCCCATCTTCACATCTGCTCATCTTCACATCTTCTCGTATTCACATTTTCTCATTTTCACATCTTCCCATCTTCACATCTTCACATCCTCACATCCTCACATCTTCACATCTTCAAATCTTCGCATCTTCTCATCCTCACATCCTTACATCTTCACACCCTTACATCTTCACATCTTCACGTCCTCACATCTTCACGTCTTCTCATCTTCACATCTTCACATCCTCACAGCCTCACATCTTCACATCTTCTCATCTTCACATCTTCTCATCTTCACATCACATCTTCACATCTTCTAATCTTCACATTTTCTCATCTTCACATCTTCACATCCATTCTCTCTTGCCCTCTTGCTCTCTTGCCCTCTTGCTCTCTTGCCCTTTTGCTCTCTTGCCCTCTTGCTCTCTTGCCCTCTTGCTACTCTTTCCCTCTTCTTTTTCCTTCTTTTCTAGTTCTCTCTTAAGGCGTGGGGCAGTGCCAACGAGACGGACGAAACGCAACCCTTTCGCACGAAACGAGGTTCGATCGCCAAAAACTGCGGTAAAATTGCGATTTTGAAGTGTGCGCGACAACCCTTTCGCACGAAATGAGGTTCGATCGTCAAAAACTGCGGTAAAATTGCGATTTTGAAGTGTCCGGCGCAAGCCTTTCGCACGAAATGAGGTTCGATTGCCAAAACTGGGGTTTAAAAAAGCGATTTTCACGGGTGCGGCGCAACGCTTTCGCACAAAATAAGGTTCGATCACAAAAAACTGGGGTAAAATTGCGATTTTGACGGGTCCGGCGCAAACCTTTCGCACGAAATGAGGTTTGATCGTCCAAAACTGCGGTAAATGGTACTTCTGTGTGTAAAAAAAGTATGTGTGTAAAAGCGTCTGTGTGCAAAAGCGTCTGTGTGTAAAAGCTCCTGTCTGTAAAAGCTTCTGTGTGTAAAAGCTTCTTTGTGAAAAAGCTTCTGTGTGCAAAAGCTTCTGTGTGCAAAAGCGTCTGCGTGTAAAAAGCTTCTATGTGTAAAAGCTTCTGTGTGTAAAAGCTTCTGTGGGTAAAAGCTTCTGTGTGTAAAAGCTTCTGTGTGTAAAAGCTTCTGTGTGTAGAATCTTCTGTGGGTAAAAGTGTCTGTGTGTAAAAGTGTCTGTGTGTAAAAAGCTTCTGTGTGTAAAAGCTTCTGTGTGTAAAAGCTTCTGTGTGTAAAATCTTCTGTGGGTAAAAGTGTCTGTCTAAAAGTGTCTGTGTGTAAAAAGCTTCTGTGTGTAAAAGCTTCTGTGTGTAAAAGTTTCTGTGTGTAAAAGTTTCTTTGGGTAAACGCGTCTGTGTCTAAAAACTTCTGTGTGTAAAAGCTTGCTGTGTGTCAAAGCGTCTGTGTGTAAAAGCGTCTGTGTAAAGGCTCCTGTGTGTAAAAGCTTCTGTGTGCAAAAGCCTCTGCGTGTAAAAAACATCTGTGTGTAAAAGGTTCTGTGTGTAAAAGGTTCTGTGTGTAAAAGGTTCTGTGTGTAAAAGCTTCTGTGTGTAAAAGCTTCTGTGTGTAAAAGCTTCTGTGTGTAAAAGCGTCTGTGTGTAAAAGCTTCTGTGTGTAGAATCTTCTGGGTAAAAGTGTCTGTGTGTAAAAGTGTCTGTGTGTAAAAAGCTTCTGTGTGTAAAAGCATCTGTGTGTAAAATCGTCTGCGTGTAAAAGGGTCTGCGTGTAAAAGCGTGTGTGTGTGTAAAAGCGTCTCTGCGTAAACGTTTCTATGTGTGGAAGCATCTGCGTGTAAAAGCGTTTGTGAGTTGTGTAAAGGCATCTGTGTGTAAAAGCATCTGTGTGTAAAAGAGTTTTTGCGTAAAAGGTGTCTGCGTGTAAAAGCGTCTGTGTGTAAAAGGGTTTGTGTGTAAAAGGGTCGGTGTGTAAAAATGTGTAAAAGGGTCTGTTGAGCTGACCGAAATGCGCAGCACTCAGAATTGCATCGTGAAGTCGCGTTGCAAGTTGCAAATGTGTCGCATCTGCCACTGCAGCACGAGAAACCAATGAATCGGTGTTCAAGATTTCAATCGCCGCCTGGTCGCTACAAGTTGTGCAGCACTCAGAGTTCTCATTGACTCATTCTTGCATGTTTTCCTTCAATATACTCAAGACGAGTCATGTCCAAATCTGATGGTGGCCAAGCAGTTTGTAGAGTTTTTGCATTGAAAATGTTGGGTTGATTCGCACTGCAGCATGAGAAACGGATGAGTCGTAGCTTTTTGGTTCAAGATTTGCACGATCTTGGAGGACGTCGCTATGTTGAAAAGTAGATCGCCTTCCATCGTTGAAAATGAAGAGGATGATGCCTTGTTGGCGCTGCGCATTCAATATATGGGGAGTCTGGCCACAGCTGGTTGCGTGAGACAGTGGCTGCTATGGATCAAAGCACTTTGCAGCAGCTTTGTCAAGCAGGTGGCGTGATTGGATCATGCGTGTATGTGTCTTCCTCTTTGTGTTCTGTTTGTGTTCTATTTGTGTGTGTGCGTGTGGTGTCTGTCTGTGTACCGTGTGTGTGTGTGTGTGCGCGTCTGAGTCTGTATCTTTGTTTGGGCGTCTGTGTGTGTATGTGTTTCTTTGCTGTCTGTCTCTGTCGGTCTCTCAAATTGTGTGTCTATCTTTGTCGACTTCTGCTTAAAATCTGACATAGCATTTCTATCTCCTTTCTGCTGATCATCTGCATCGTCTTCAATGAAGCTTTCACCTACAATGTCTTTGATACTACTTACAACAGAGTAACATGCTCTTCTACGCTCTCGGGCCATCCGTCGTCTAGTTTATATACATATAATTAAATATATGTATATACACAAACAATATAATATATTATGTAACAAATATATGTATTCAATATATGTATATGTATGTATATATATATATATATATACACATATATATATATATGTATATATGTCATAATTATGCATTCATATCCTTATCCATCCAACAAAAGCTGCAAGCGTGAAGACTTTGCGCCTTGCTCGTTGCTTACATAGGCGCCGTGCTCGATAAGGCGTTGGATGACGCTGGGGGCCACTTGACGATAGCAACAAGCATCCAGTGGAGATGCTGCCACCATGCCTTGGTGAACAACGGCGGTGAGTTTGGCAGTTTTGCTGTGGGATTATCCCAGTATCTATTCACTATAAATGGGAAAATCCACTATAAATGGGAGGAAAAAAAAACACTATACATGGAGGAATTCTCCCATTCTCTAGTCACTCATGTGGTTAAAACAATGCCAATTTGTTACCACCCATTTTCCTGGGAATGGTGAGTTTATACCACCTATAAAAATAAGATGATGACTGGAGGATGGTTTATTACTGTTTTACACACATTACTCCCGTGTAGTTGATTTTTGATTGGTTAGTTGTCATTACAAGGCTACTCACCCCCAAACAAATGGTTATTCAAAACGTTCAAGATGTTCAAGAATAGTTCTTGCTACTAACCAACAATGCTAATACACTACGGTAAATCAACATATATAGCTGTGGAAATTTACCCAAACACATATTATATATTCACCTTTTTGTTTGAACATGGCAATGTTTCCGTGACAAACTGTTCCCATGGCCAGCGGGTACTAGGGAATATCCAAATGAAAACAACTACTGTAGTTGTATATAGGATGTACCCCAGCAAAAATATATGGCGCACTATATTACAATTCAATTTGTGAACCACTTACTAAGGTATTCAGGTCATGGTGCGATCATCTTGCCCATTGAATAGCCTTGAATCAAGAGTCATTCGGGATATACCTACCATATATATATATATTATATATACATATCGGGACAACCACTAATGTCATTTCATCCCAAACGGATCATAAAACATACATCCACTATAAATATGTACATATATACATATATACACATAATTGAATTATAAAAATAGATACATATTTATAATATATACATATTCAAATATGGTTACACATATGTATGTATATATATATATACATAATATACATGTGTATCTGTATACGTATATATATATATATATACATACATACATATGTATATGTGTATATATATAGTACATATTGGGTGTTTTGTTGCATTTCAGTTCTTGGAGAAAGCCGCACATGTGGCAAAACGAGTAAAGCATCCCGCAATCCAACCAGAACTTCCAGTATTATCTCATGATTATTCTGACTTCGGATGAACATTTTTTTCATATTCTTGGTAAATTATAATAACTCACTAGAAATAAGGCATAAGGCCATTTTCGGATGATTCCTCTCAAAAAAAAAAAAGATTCCAGTGAGGGAGAACAGTGAGGTCGTTATAATTTACCCAGAATATTGGGTGTACCTTTTTTTGATTCCATGTTTTGTGTCCATTAGAGACCCAGACAGTCGGCCCGAGTGGCTTCCTGCACGGTTCACATCGGCGCGGTACTGCACGAGCAAATCTACTGCTCGTCCTGTAAGACCTCACGTCATGAACCAAAATGGCAAACTTTATATAATAGAAGCGATAAATCACCATGTTTGATGGTTAACTCCACAATGTTTGATGAATTGATCCACAATGATCCACATATCTAGCGGATCTCACCAAGTTCGTTTTTAACTCCAAGAACTGTTGGTTTTATGGTAGCTAGTGGAGGTTAGAAGCCAACTTATAACCAGGGGACCCCTCTGTTTCTAAGTTGTTACAGGGACAGTTCCATCAAAATGTTTAGCGTAAGATGGAATTGGTATTTCTATATAATCTATTCTATTCTAATCTAGTCGAATCTAATCTATTGTATTCCTGTATTCATCCATCTATGGATCTATCCATCCCTACATCCAAACATCTATACTATACACAGCTTAAGTGTAGACAACCTGAAGGACCAACTCAATCTGAAACTTCAAAAGTCATCAAAATTCAAGCCATTGGGTCTGAAAATAATATGCCCTTCAATAGTACAATGGGACGAATAATTGAAGACGGCCTATGCTTCATCTAGGTGGCAAAACCAAGCGGGGTTGAGGACAAATGACTTGACTTGATTCTTGCAATGTTTGCTTCGGAAACCTCATCAGAATGCATTCTCATTGAGAGTCATCAATCGAAACCTTTGCAAGATCCATAATTTCCTGTGTCCAAAAATGGGTCAGAGTCACACTACATGTCCAAAACCCTTCCTAAGCCAATCCCCATTGTACTTCGACATCATCAATTGACCATCGGTCGAGAAACAAAACAACCGGACTTCGAGGACAAAACAATAAACAATGGTGCAATCATGCTTATGATTGTTTATGATGGATTTTCAATGGATTTTCAACTTTCAAGAACCAAAATCACCACCTGGGAATCAACACGACGGCGTCCATTCATGGAACCCAAGTGGGAACCCCAAAATCCGCCAAGTGGCACTGCCCTAAAGGTGGGGCGCCCTGGTTCCAGCATGGGTTGTCCAATTGCATTCGGAAATCATGGTATTTCAAATTATTTAAATGCTTTATGATCTATGTTTATCATCAATAAAAGAGATGATTGGTTCCTGGATAACCACTGTGGACCCTGCAATTTCGGAGGGTTGGAAAGCATGTTTCGGATTGCCTTCTGGAAACCAAACGTGGCAAAGGAATATACAGGATACATTTCTGGAACAACGTTATATCAGGGCGGTTCAAGCATAGGCAAACAAATGTGAAACAAACATAAACAAACTATATACAAGGATCGCTCCATCTCTCCGCAAAAACTAAACATGATTCCTATATTGCCTCAGCATTGCCCCTGATGAAGCACCAATTGGCTTCAAACCAAATTAAAAATTGACTCCCCAACTGTCCCCAACTGTTTCAACCCTCATCTTATCTCTTCGTAATCAATCATGGTGTGCTGGAAAATCGCCCATTTGCATCGATAATTTATCATTAAACTTCATTAAACCATATTAAACCCCATTTGGATCCATTGAGATCGATACAAACCTGTCAACAAATGTAAAAAAAAACCTCTGGTTTCTCCATGGATTTCTCCATGAATTTCCCTTACCTGGCCTGGGCAGACATGCCATTGGGATCGCAACGAGTCTTCAACAATGCTTCCAAGGCCTGGCAGTCGAGATTCGAGGAGATGTTCATGATGTTTAATGAGTAAACAACACTGTGTTCATAAACATGGTAATTAAACATGTTTAAACATCAACATCATAAACATGTTTCAACACTGAGTTCATGATGTTTGTGCGCTTATTGCGATAGTTAAGGCTGGGTCGATTGAAGTTTCGCGTGTGCATTTCCTTTTCTGAAGATCGCGCTATGCAAGCGAAAAAAACATCGTCACATTTTGTCACAACTCGCAGACGTGGGGCGACGTGAGAGGTGCTGCCCAAGGTCATTCTTGCGTAGAAGGCGCAACATTTGGTGAACTGGGGCGATGTTTTTAGAATCCGAAAACGCTCGTCTTGCTCGACGCTCTGTTGAGATCATACGTGGCTATGCAACCAGGACATCTGTGAGACTAGAACGGTGGGTTTATATATATATATATATACATATTTCGGTTGAGGGTTGTTCAGTCTATAATATGTTCTTAGCCATATACGGACGGTGAACACCGAAGGCCCTGCTGACCACAGATTTGGGTCAGTATCATTCAAACATATTCGAACAATTCAGACTTTGCATTTGGATACATGATCTCAACAAATGCCACCATCCTAGAACAATGACGAACTTCTCACATGCACTATGAATATGCGCATTCCCAAAATCCATGTATTATGTTGGAGGCTTCAACCTTCCTAACGCTAACAGAACATTGGAGATCGTCGCCCAAGAGCATCAAGTTGCGAAAGAAACAGTAACAAAACATAGCAAAAGGCCATGAACTGTCTATAGGATCTACAAGAAAGGTTGCAGACTGATATGCGTGTCTGCTTTATTCAATGATTGGCTGAATGGTTTCAAGCCAGAATGCACCATTAAAGCTTAACTCTTCTCTGAACTCCTTCATTCCTGAGGAAAATCTGCTCCAGGCTACATCTCTGAAAGCGGTTTTGGTATGGTATGATATGGTGTGGTGTGGTATGGTACTGCCAAAGCAACTGCAAATCACAGTTGCACCATCCTTTCTCAAACTGACGCTCAAAGGCTTCGAATGTACGGAACGAGGGGTTTACCATCAACCATGGAACAATAACATGCCGCCATCATATATCATTATATTATATTACATTATATTATATTATATTAGGGATTGAATCTCCCACTCCCATGGAACAATACCATGCTGCTATTAGGCCTTTTGTTGGACAATAAAATTCACCAGACGGAGGATGAGAAGTGGATGTCTGTGGCCAAACAACAAAGCTGATACCAGTTACATAAAAGGATAAGCATACCTGATGCCTGCAGACTATCACCAAACCTGAAGTCACCAATTTGGGCAATGGTAGCTACGCGTTTATTTTTAGAAAAAATGTGACAAAACACCTTCAATACGAGAACATGTTTTCCCTAAAATTGCAGTCCGTGACCCCCTTATCCTGCCTGTTTGCTCACAATTCCGATTGCTACTAAATACAATGTGTATGTCATGTATGTATGTATGTATGTATGTATGTGTATGTATGTATGTATGTATGTATGTATGTATGTATGTATGTATGTATGTATGTATGTATGTTATGTGTATGTATGTATGTATGTATGTATGTATGTATGTATGTATGTGTATGTAGGTATGTATGTGTATGTAGGTATGTATGTGTATGTATGTATGTGTATGTATGTATGTATGTATGTATGTACGTCTGTCTGTCTGTACGTAAATGTATATGTGTGTCTATGTATGTATATGTATGTATACGTATATGTATGTGTATGTAAGGATATGTAAGTATATGTATGTATATGTATATGTAGATGTAAATGTAAATGTATGTATATGTATGTATATGTATGTATATGTATGTATATGTTTATGTATATGTATGAATATGTGTATTTATGTATGTATGTATGTATGCATGTATATGTATGTATATGTATGTATATGTATGTATATGTATGTATATGTATGTATATGTATGTATATGTATGTATATGTATGTATATGTATGTATATGTATGTATATGTATGTATATGTATGTATATGTATGTACGTAAATGTATATGTATGTCTATGTATGTATATGTATGTATACGTATATGTATGTGTATGTGTATGTAAGGATATGTAAGTATATGTATGTATATGTATATGTAGATGTAGATGTAAATGTATATGTATGTATATGTATGTATATGTATGTATATGTTTATGTGTATGTATGAATATGTGTATGTATGTATGTATGTTTGTTTGTTTGTATGTTTGTATGTTTGTATATGTATATGTATATGTATATGTATGTATATGTATGTATATGTATGTATATGTATGTATATGTATGTAAATGTATATGTATGTATATGTATATGTATATGTATGTGTATGTATGTATATGTATATGTATATGTATGTGTATATGTATATGTATATGTATATGTATATTATATGTATATGTATGTATATGTTTATATATTTTCCCTGCCCTGCACACTGTCGGCCTCTCGAGCACTCCAGCACACTAAGAAGTGGAAATAAGCTGATGCAATTCAGTTTCCACGGGTGCCCCCTTCACCGTTTGCCCATGGAAAAGACTAATGCAAACTGTCAGGAAGCGTTTGCAGGACACTCAGATCGTCCTGAAAGCTGTAACTCATCATCTTGGACCCACTATCAAAATCAAGATTTCTAAAAGAAAGGGCAGCAAAAAGAAACCAAACCTTATGGGGATGATAAAAGCTTATGTGCCCAAAAAAACCCGAAAGGCGACCAAACCCGAAATCATATACATACACATATACATACATATACATACATATACATACATATACATACATATGCAAACATATACATACATATACATACTTATACATCCATATACATACATAAAAATACATATTCATACATATCCATACACATATACATAAACATATACATAAACATATACATAAACATATACATAAACATATACATAAACATATACATACATATACATACATATACATACATATACATACATATACATACATATACATACATATACATACATATACATACATATACATACATATACATACATATACATACATATACATACATATACATACATACGTACGTACGTACGTACATACGTACCTACGTACATACGTACATACGTACATACAAACATACACACATACACACATACATACATTACATACATACATTCATACATCCATACATACATACATGCATACATACATCACATACATAC